CACACACACACACACACACACACACCCATGAGCCCCAGCAACTTAACTTTCCATGCCTCTGACTTCTCATTAGTAAAGTGGGGTGCGTCTTATTTCTTGGTGTTAACAAGGAAGCTGATGTTGAATGTATGATGTGTGATAGTCACTTTACAAGTGTCAACTACAACATTAAAATCTCAAAGGACCACCTGAGGAGTTGTTATTATCTTAAAAAAAAATAAACACAGGTAGCTCATGCATTGGTTTTTCACAATGAGTCCCACAACTCTGCAAGTGACAGTCCTATCTCAGGTCTAGTTCTGGAAGTAAGAGTCACACATTGGATTTTCCTGACGAGTTCCCACAAGCCCATCTGTACACTTCCAGCTCCAGAAGTACAGCTTTCACAGTGAATCTTCCTAGTAAGTCTACCCAGAGCCAAAACTAACCATTCCATCTCTTACCCCAAGTCTAGTTCTGGTCACACAGTTCTTGCACCAACCCAGCATGAAGCAGGCAAGAATCACACTTCAAACACACAACCAGGGAAAGAAATCCACATGCCTAGATCATGTTGCAAAAAGATGCTATGTCCTGTTCCACAATCACTGGTTCTATAGAAACATTCCCCACTGAAGGTTACCAGATGAGCCATGGGATAAAAATGTAAATGAAAAATTATAAACATCATTGAAGAATTCAAAGAGTTTAAAGAAGACACAGACAGCCCAATGAACTTAAAGAATATATCAGTAAATGCCTGAAAGATGCTCAAGAAAAGGCAAATATAAGGATGGACAAAACAAGAAAGAAACTTCAGAATTGGACAACTAAATTCAGTAATTGGACAACTAAATTCAGTAAAGAATTAGAAATGTTAAAAAAAAAACTCAAGCTGAAATAAAGATGGGACTGAAAAACTCAACAACCTAATTACAAAAGTCAGGAAAAGAATTACAAGGAGGATGACAAAATAGAAGTTAGATTATCAGGTTTTGAAGATAAAGCAGAGAAATTGGACCACTTAAGCAAATAATATGAACAAATATTAAAAAACATGCAAGTAGCATTCAGGAATTATGGGATGCCATGAAAAACTTGAATTATAGTCATAAATGAAGAAGGGTCCCAGATCAATGGCATAGACCAGATCTTCAACAGAATCATCCCCAAATTAAGGAAAGCCATCCCCGTACAGATACAAGAAGCACACAGAATACCAAGTGGGACCAGTAATGAAATCCCTCAAGGCATATTAGAACGAAAACATGAAATACAAGCTGCAAGAGAAAAACCACAAATCACAGATAAAGGAGAACCCATTAGAATAAAATCTGACTTCACAATGGAAATATGAAAAGCCAAAGGAGTCTTTCTTGGGGTCCTGTTTTCCAGGTAGCCTCCCTGGTGAGGTGAGTAGCAGTCCAGTCATCCTTGTTCCACCTCTAGTATCCTCCTATGAGTGAGTACATGCAATATTTGTCTTTCTGAGTCTGGGTTACCTCACTCAGGATGATTTTTTCTAGATCCATCCATTTGCCTGCAAACCTCATGATGTCATTGTTTTTCTCTGCTGAGTAGTATTCCATTGTGTATATGTGCCACAATTTATTTATCCATTCTTCAGTTGAAGGGCATCTAGGTTGTTTCCAGGTTTTGGCTATTACAAACAATGCTAATATGAACATAGCTGAGCAAGTGCTCTTGTGTTATGATTGAGCATTTCTTGGGTATATGCCCAAGAGTGGTATAGCTGGATCTTGGGGGAGATTGATTCCCAATTTTCTAAGAAAGCGCCATATTGATTGGCTGAGATCTACATGAACAACCTGGACATGAGTGGGAGTAATGAAGGGCGAGGGTCGAGGGAAAGAGAGCCTGTGGGAGCGGGAGATCCCAGCTGGATCAGGAACAGAGAAGGAGAACAAGAAATAGGAGACCATGGTAAATGAAGACCACATGAGAAAAGGAAGAAACAAAGTGCTAGAGAGGCCCACAGAAATCCACAAAGATACCCCCACAATAGACTGCTGGCAATGGTTGAGAGACAGCTGGAACTGACCTACTCTGGTGATGGGATGGCCAAACACCCTAATAGTTGTGCCAGAAACCCCATCCAAAGACTGAGGAATCTGGTTGCAGAGATCCACGGCTAGGCCCCGGGTGGAGCGCTGGGAGTCTAATTAGCGAGAAAGAGGAGGGTTTATATGAGCGAGAATTGTTGAGACTAAGGTTGGATAAAGCACAGGGACAAATAGCCAAATGAATGGAAACACATGAACTATAAACCAAAGGCTGAGGGGCCCCCAACTGGATCAGGCCCTATGAATAGGTGAGACAGTTGATTGGCTTGGTCTGTTTGGGAGGTATCTAGGCAGTGGTACTGGGTCCTGTGCTCAGTGCATGAGTTGGCTGTTTGAAACTTGGGGCTTATGCAGGGACACTTGGCTCAGTCTGGAAGAAGGGGACTGGACCTGCCTGGACTGAGTCTACCAGGTTGATCTCAGTCCTCAGGGGAGGCTTTGCCCTGGAAGAGGTAGGAATAGAGGGTGGGCTGGGGGGAAGGGGAGGGGGACAGGAGGGGGGAGAACAAGGAAATCTGTGGCTGATATGTAGAACTGAATGATATTGTAAAATAAAATAAAAGGAAAAAAAAAGCCAAAGGAGTCTGGAACAGTGTACTTCAAGTTCTAGAAGAATGTAAGTGTCATTGTGGTAAAAGTTCTGGAACATATCTCAAAATAATAAAGGCTATGTGCAACAAATCTATAGCCAACATACTGTTAGATGGGGACCAACTGAGAGCATCTCTTCCAAAATCAAGGAAGAGATGAGGACACCCACTCTCCCCTCCCTTATTTGATGTCATGCTCCAAGTCCTAGCTGTAGCTTTCAGATAGGAGAAAGACACAAAATTAATTGGTAAAACAGAAAGGGATAAGGTCAAATTATCCCTATTTGCAGGTGACATGATTCTTTTCTCTTTTATTGAAAATAGATTTTCTTTTCATACAATATATCCTGATTATGCGTTTCCCTCCCCCTAGTCCTCCCAGTTCCTCCCCATCTCCCCTCCCTTTCTGTCTTTTGCAAGAAAACAATGATGGTATGATTCTTTAAAGACTCTTTAAGTCTACTAGAAAACTCTTGGACCTAATAAAAGTTTAATGTAATGTTTCAGAACACAAAAATTAATATAAAAAAGTAGTCTTCATTCATACCAAAAGTACTCTCAGAAAAAATTATACAATATTGGGATGCTCTTTCCTTGGGAAAACTATTTCTTACACTCTCAGCATTCTTCAGTTACTTGTAGTTCTTTGTGTAGTGTTGAGCCTCATGGTCCTTTCCTCATCCACTTTAGCATGTCTATTGTCATTATCTTTGTTAGATCATGTTTAGTCAGTCATTTTGGTGAAATATGAGTGTAGCATCTGTCATTCTTAGAAGACAGAATCTCAGAGCAAACTCCCTGATCCTCTGGCTCTCATGATCCTCCCACTCCCTCTTCCACAATGTTCCCCAAGCCTCATGTTCAGGAGCTGTTTTGCAGATGTAGCCATTGGGACTGGACTCCACAACTCTATTTTAAAAGCTAATTTTCTTTT